AGCTGGTCGTAACCCAAAAAGTTCGTTAACGGAGGCGTTCGTAACCCGAGGTACCACTGTAATGGGTTTAGAGCAGGATTTCTCAGCCTTGGCAATTTTAAGATGGGTGGACTTCCACTCCCAGAATTCCCTAGCATCCTGGCTGGGGAATTCTGGGAGCTGAAGTTTGCCCATCTTAAAATTGCCAAAGTTGAGAAACATTGGTTTAGAGGATGCATCATTCTGCATCAGACTGCTTGAATAGATTATATAGACCCTGGCAGCCTCTCTTTTTCCCCCCCTCTATATGAAGCTAACTGTTACTACTTTAGTATTTAGGCCAGTTCTAGCAACAGCCCACCAGTGTTATGGCCAGGGTTCTTTTTACATTTCTGGAATATTTCTAGCTTGTATTAACAACACAAGTTTCTATTCTTGCGACATGGCAGGAAGGCATGTTTAGAGTGAAGTGGTTTGACAATGACTAGGCTTATTGTCAGTTATAATCAGGGATTTATTCAATATTATGGATTTGTTAAATATAATCAATATTTAGCATCGTGTGAGCCATTATTGTTTATGGTGTCTGGCTTAGCATGATGTATAAACTTAGTCACTATGATCTATTCAGCAGACTATGGCTTAGTGTGATATGTGAATTCAATCAAAGGCATGGGTGAATCTTGAAAAACAAGAAACTGAATTCTAAGACTCATGATATATGAAGTAACTTTTAGTTATGAAACATACTAGCACAGGAAGTGCATGTCTTTTTAGGTAGATTTCATTATCTGTCTTGTCATGTTTCTGTTTAATTATCTGACTGCATAATAGTATTTACTAAGCAGCAATATCATTACTAAAGATGTTTAATGTCCTGCTAAAAGGAAGTTTAAAAATGTAGTTTTCTCACCATCGCTTTGGCTGCAAGTATTTTATGTCAGCTTCTCAGAAAAATGTACAGAGTGATTGTTGAAGACAGTGTCCTCATTTTCTGTCTTTATCATAATAAAGACAGTTAGGAGAATTTTATTCATGATCACACAGAAAATGTTATATATGCTCATAAAATATTAACATGCATATCTTTTCTCTATTATCGTTCCACAGTAGATGTTTTAAAATGACAGAAGTTCAAATAGACTGAAGTTCAAATTTCTCTTAGTGTATTCTGATTGTAAAGAAGCGATGGGGTTGCAAAAATGATAGGATGGTGGAAGCCATTGTGGATGTGGCGACACATTACTCTATGTTATGATGTAATCTATTTGGCTTTGGCTTAGTGTGTTGTATGGATATAGACTTTGTGATTTGTAAGTAATGATACAAAGCTAAGCACAAGGTGTACATTTTTTTCTGAGGCATGGATATTCGAGTAGTATGTCAACAGCTCAAAAACTAGTGGATGATCTCAGGCCATGAACTAAAATTGATTTCATTTTTTACATTTAATTATAATTTAAATTAAATAAATTGAATGTATCATAATCTAATAGTCTATACATATTCAATGCTTTCCTTTTGTAACACTTAACAAATTGCATTTTGTAAAAGAGCATTGGAGGTTTCTTGGGGCTTTACAATACTAAGGTTGGGCACAGTGGGCAATGTGCCAACTGAGACAATAATAGTTTATTCAAAAACAGTGTTTAAACAAAGTGTGGTTAAGTGATATGTATATATGTATGTAAAAATCCTCTTGTCGCTTTGCAAGGAAGAAAGTATATATTTCAAGTTAATTTATGATATTCAGCAATGATAAATACCGCACATGCTATACTCATTCTCTGAATGTGACAGCCTATTCACTAACCATACTTTGTTGATTAAATCACAATTAGTTGGTTTTGCACGCAGCACTATGCTTTAAATATCTTATAAACCACAATGGCTAAGTTAGGTCAATGCAACATAGTAAACCAAACATAAACCAAAAATATAACTTGGCACAATATGAGAATCCATATCACAATAAGCAATGATTTGTTTAAACATAGTTAAATAAATGACAATTGGCTGGATTCACACACAACACTAATCCATAAACTATGCTTTACAAATCATACAACATGCTGAACCATAACCAAAACCATGTTATGGCTTAACATATTGTGTGAATCCATCCAATGTTTGGATTATTGGCAATCAAATACAAAAGTCTTAAACTGAGACTGAGTTATTTTGCATAGTGATATCTGATATGTGTCAGCCAAGCTTAAGGATGTGAGCCACATGGGTTTTTTTTTAGTGTATCTCAGCTGATACATGTGGAGGGAAGGACAATGGAGCAGTATTTATAGATCAAAGTTTGCTGTTGAGGTCACTGGAAAGAAAGGATTATGATCTAGGCGTATTAGTAGGAAAGGACACAAAGACTGAGAACAAATGGAATTCAACATTTTGAGGTGGCTTGGAGACATTATAGGAGACCTGTGTTAGTCTATGGTAGCCAAAAATCAAAAGGAGTCTGCATCAGAGTCAAGTGGGTCAGAAGAAATGAGTTGTCATGTACAGCCTGGCTACAACCTTTACAACTGTATTTGTTCTGCCCATGTGACAGAGATGGAATCAAATCAGGCATTCAGGAGGCTGAACTACCCAACAAATGAGATCAACAGAGCCAGAGCCACTTATTATTAAACCCATATTGGACAGTGACACTGAACTTTCTCAGGCACTGGATGACAGGTCCATGCTTGCATACAGACAACCGCCCAAACTAAAACATTCTTCCAAGCAATCAGAAACAACAGAAAAATGACTAACATGGGAACCAGATTCTGCAACAAACTCAGATGTCTACTTCGCCCCCACATTTATGCCAACAGCACCATCATAGGCCCCTTCACAGCCAAGATTAGAGAAGCCTTCACATGCTCTTCCTCTGATGTGAGATATGCCAACATTTGCCAGTAATGCCCCTGTGGATAGGACAAACAGGTCACTTCATGCAAAAGAATGAATGGGCACAAGTTTGACATCAGGACTCAAACAAGGACAAAGTAACACATCATTTTAACCTCCCAGAACACTCCAAAGTAGCTATTCTGGAACAAAGGAATTTTACCAGCACAATCAAGTGAGAGACTGCTGAATGCATCAGTAGTTTAAGGCTATCTCAGAAGATCTTAAAAAGCACAAAAGGTTTTTAACATGTTACAATTGTTAATTGATTGTAATCGGTCCCACATGTAAGCTGCATCTGCATAATCACTCTGTCTTTCTTCCCTTCTTTTTCCTCCCCACCTCATCCTGATTTAAATCCTATATTGGTTTAGCCACTTCCTGCATCTGATGAAGTGAGCTGTAGTTCACAAAAGTGTATGCCTTTTAATAAAATGTCTTAGCTGAAAAAGGTGCAACCAGATTCCTTCTGATTTTAGGTGACTTGTGTAAATAATTCCAATGGTTTGGCTCAGGATATTTTAGAATGGTGTCCTTTTCTGTTATAATTTGTACCATGCAGGAAATCTACACCCCCAGGCTCCAGAATATACGCATTGTACAGCATGTTGTGCATTGCAGAATTCCCTTATTCTTTATTTTTTGACCTGCCAACTATCGAAGTATCTTGGTAGTTTACTTACTAGACACAGAGTAGAGAGGTGGATTTCT